GGCCAGACTTATCAAAAAGAGAAGAGAAATGACCCAAATCAACAAAATCATGAATGAAAGAGGAGAGATCACAACCAACACCAAAGAAATACAAACAATTATAAGAACATATTATGAGCAACTCTATGCCAGCAAATTAGATAACCTGGAAGAGATGGATGCATTCCTAGAGATGTATCAACTACCAAAACTGAACCAGGATGAAATAGAAAACCTGAACAGACCTATAACCACTAAGGAAATTGAAGCAGTCATCAAAAATCTCCCAAAAAACAAAAACCCAGGGCCAGATGGCTTCCCAGGGGAATTCTACCAAACATTTCAAGAAGAATTAATACCTATTCTTCTGAAACTGTTCCAAAAAATCGAAACGGAAGGAAAACTTCCAAACTCATTTTATGAGGCCAGCATTACCTTGATCCCCAAACCAGACAAAGACCCCATCAAAAAGGAGAATTACAGACCAATATCCCTGATGAACATGGATGCAAAAATTCTCACCAAAATACTAGCCAATAGGATCCAACAGTACATTAAAAGGATTATTCACCATGACCAAGTGGGATTTATCCCTGGGCTGCAAGGTTGGTTCAACATCCGCAAATCAATCAATGTGATACAGTACATTAACAAAGGAAAGAACAAGAATCATATGATCCTCTCAATAGATGCAGAAAAAGCTTTTGACAAAGTACAGCATCCTTTCTTGATCAAAACTCTTCAGAGTATAGGGATAGAGGGTACATACCTCAATATCATAAAAGCCATCTATGAAAAACCTACAGCAAATATTATTCTCAATGGGGAAAAACTGAGAGCTTTCCCCCTAAGGTCAGGAACGCGGCAGGGATGTCCACTATCACCACTGCTATTCAACATAGTATTGGAAGTCCTAGCCACAGCAATCAGACAACAAAAAGAAATCAAAGGCATCCAAATTGGCAAAGAAGAAGTCAAACTCTCACTCTTTGCAGATGATATGATACTTTATGTGGAAAACCCAAAAGACTCCACCCCAAAACTGCTAGAACTCATACAGGAATTCAGTAAAGTGGCAGGATATAAAATCAATGCACAGAAGTCAGTGGCATTCCTATACACCAACAACAAGACAGAAGAAAGAGAAATTAAGGAGTCGATCCCATTTACAATTGCACCCAAAACCATAAGATACCTAGGAATAAATCTAACCAAAGAGACAAAGGATCTTTACTCAGAAAACTATAAAATACTCATGAAAGAAATTGAGGAAGACACAAAGAAATGGAAAAACGTTCCATGCTCATGGATTGGAAGAACAAATATTGTGAAGATGTCAATGCTACCTAGAGCAATCTACACATTCAATGCAATCCCCATCAAAATACCATCCACTTTTTTCAAAGAAATGGAACAAATAATCCTAAAATTTGTATGGAACCAGAAAAGACCCCGCATAGCCAGAGGAATATTGAAAAAGAAAAGCAAAGCCGGTGGCATCACAATTCCGGACTTCAAGCTCTATTACAAAGCTGTCATCATCAAGACAGCATGGTACTGGCACAAAAACAGACACATAGATCAATGGAACAGAATAGAGAGCCCAGAAATGGACCCTCAACTCTATGGTCAACTAATCTTCGACAAAGCAGGAAAGAATGTCCAATGGAACAAAGACAGTCTCTTCAACAAATGGTGTTGGGAAAATTGGATAGACACATGCAGAAGAATGAAACTGGACCACTTCCTTACACCACACACAAAAATAGACTCCAAATGGCTGAAAGACCTCAATGTGAGACAGGAGTCCATCAAAATCCTAAAGGAGAACACAGGCAACAACCTCTTTGACCTCAGCCGAAGCAACTTCTTCCTAGAAACATCGCCAAAGGCAAGGGAAGCAAGGGCAAAAATGAACTATTGGGACTTCATCAAGATAAAAAGCTTTTGCAAAGCAAAGGAAACAGTTAAGAAAACCAAAAGACAACCGACAGAATGGGAGAAGATATTTGCAAATGACATATCAGATAAAGGGCTAGTATCCAAAATCTATAAAGAACTCATCAAACTCAACACCCAAAGAACAAAGAATCCAATTAAGAAATGGGCAGAAGACATGAACAGACATTTTTCCAAAGAAGACATCCAAATGGCCAACAGACACATGAAAAAGTGCTCAATATCGCTCGGCATCAGGGAAATCCAAATCAAAACCTCAATGAGGTATCACCTCACACCAGTCAGAATGGCTAAAATTAACAAGTCAGGAAACGACAGATGTTGGCGGGGATGCGGAGAAAGGGGAACCCTCCTACACTGTTGGTGGGAATGCAAACTGGTGCAGCCACTCTGGAAAACTGTATGGAGGTTCCTCAAAAAGTTGAAAATAGAGCTACCATATGATCCAGCAATTGCACTACTGGGTATTTACCCCAAAGATACAAAAGTAGGGATCCGAAGGGGTACGTGCACCCCGATGTTTATAGCAGCAATGTCCACAATAGCCAAACTGTGGAAAGAGCCAAGATGTCCATCGACAGATGAATGGATAAAGAAGATGTGGTATATATATACAATGGAATATTATGCAGCCATCAAAAGGAATGAGATATTGCCATTTGCAACAACGTGGATGGAACTGGAGGGTATTATGTTGAGTGAAATAAGTCAAACAGAGAAAGACATGTATCATATGATCTCACTGATATGAGGAATTCTTAATCGCAGGAAACAAACTGAGTGTTGTTGGAGTGGGGGGTGGGGTGGGAGGGATGGGGTGACTGGGTGATAGACACTGGGGAGTGTATGTGCTCTGGTAAGCGCTGTGAATTGTGCAAGACTGTTGAATCTCAGATCTGTACCTCTGAAACAAATAATGCAATATATGTTAAGAAAAAAAAAAGAAGAAGAAGAAGAAGAAGGTAGCAGGAGGGGAAGAATGAAGCGGGGGAAATCGGAGGGGTAGACGAACCATGAGAGACGATGGACTCTGAAAAACAAACAGGGTTCTAGAGGGGAGGGGGGTGGGAGGATGGGTTAGCCTGGTGGTGGGTATTTAGGAGGGCACATTCTGCATGGAGCACTGGGTGTTGTGCACAAACAATGAATCATGGAACACTTCATCTAAAACTAATGTTGTAATGTAAGGGGATTAACATAAGAATAAAAAAATTTAAAAAAAAAAAAAAAAGTAGCTATTGTTTAGAAATTATGTTCAGGGTCCTGATATTAATTTATTTCTCCATGTATTGTTTATATTCTGCATGCTTCCAAAAAGAATTAAATAGTTATTTTGACATTAAATAGAATTGTAGAATTTTTAAGAACCCAAAATCTAATGATGATAAGTGAAAACAAGTAAAATTGGCTTAGAACAAATTTTTGTGTTAGGAAAGCACTATGTAAACACTGAGAAAAGTAAGTAAAAATCTTTCACAGCTTGAAATCACTGAGAAGTTTTCTTCCCCTTTTTGGGTTATTAGGTATTATTAAGCAAGGAAAATACTATGGACAGGATCTATCTTGATTTTAGAAAGTGATTAGGAAAAGAATCTAGTAGGATTCTTTTATATATGAGGGAGATACAAGGATTTTGGTGAAATTCACAGAGGAATAAAAAAAGGTTTGCAAAAAGTAATGAATGAGACATTCTCACAACCTGAATGATGACATGCTTTTATCATCATGAGATTGTCAAAACATACTGAATTTTATAAATGTCAGAAAGTTCCTTTAAAAAAGCTAGTAAAATCCCAGATTATAATCCAAAGATAATTTATATTTGATCAAGTGCATACCCCATGATACTCTCTGATGTGGGAACATTATCCAGAACCCTGGGCTTGGTTGTGGCAGAACCCACACTTTACAGGGGACTTGGCAAACAAGAATATGCTCAGAGAAAGTATCAGAGGTACTGAAGTCTTTGAAAACTACACAATGTAAGAATTTGTTGAAAGAACAAATTGTGTTTGGGCTGAAAAAGAGTCTCAGATGAGAGATGCTAACAGCTTTTAACATCTGAAGATGACTTAAGAGGAAGGAGAGAGGCCTCAGAAGAAACAAATCCTAATACTTGGATCTCAGACTTTTGCCTCCAGAACTGGGAGAAATAAATTTCTGTTGTGTAAGCCACCCAGTCTGTGGTGCTTTGTTATAGCAGCCCAAGCAAGCTAATACAGAGACTATTGTTGTATATAAACCCAGTTTAAATATTAAATTTAAGGTAATGCAAGACTGCGTAGTCATTTTTATAGCAACTCAAATTATAGACTTTACACTTAGAATTCACAGGTAGATTTTATTTTTTCTGTTTATTCTTTTAACAAATTTCATCGAAAATCTTAAACCTAATGGTTTTTTTTCTCAATCCACTCTATTGAAGAGAACTAGTTTAACAAAAGGAGCGCAAGGACTTCACAACCAATTAACAGCAAGCTTAAGTTATATGTAAACTTTCAGGATATGCAAAACATTTCATTTTTATCAAGATGTGTATAGTTAATGAAGTTTAGAATGGCAGCTCATAATCTTTTAGAATATTCATGTGCACAAGCCAGCAGTTAATAATAGCAGAACATAGCTTTTTCTAACTCATTCAAATCATCTGCCCCCGGGGCGCCTGGGTGGCTCAGTCGGTTGAGCATCTGCCTTCAGCTCAGGTCATGATCCCAGGGTCCTGGCATCGAGTCCAGCATCGGGCTCCCTGCTCAGCGGGGAGTCTGCTCCTCCCTCTGCCCCTCCCCCTGCTTGTGCTCTCTCTCTCTCTCTCTCTGGGTCTGAAATAAATAAAATCTTTAAAAAAAAGTCTTCTGCCCCAATTGCTGAATGAGCTTAGTCCCGCTTTGCTGTATACCTGTAATCAAGCACTCAGCATGATGGTGTAGGGATATACTGAATGCACATTTGAAAATATTTTTTAATTTAAAGAATATTATTTCCTATTTCTTTTAGAATTTCCTATTGGTAATATACATTAGTTTTAGGAATTAAGAAAAAAGCAAGTAAATGAATGTACTTACAGGTCCTGTTAATTTAGATGCTTTCTCAAATTCTTCACCCTCTTCCATTAGTGCTTCTTCAGTCCCGGCTAAAGAATCTATTTTTACAAAAAGAATGAATAAATTGTTGTCAAATATTGCTTACTAACTCTGTGATATGTAAACCTATTATGAGAAGGATATGAAAGTGACCAAACTGGTTCTTGAAAAATAGTGTTTGTGAGTTAAAATAAACGGTAGAATGCTGTTTATTTAATTTAAAGACAACATATGAAAAATGTTAAGTATTTCTAATTGAGAAGGACTCGATGAAATAAAAAATGTGTGACAGCTGCAGTTACGTTTGTCAGAGCAAGCCTGTTTTTGGCATGATTTAGCTAACTGTTGGAACTTTTATTAACGTCCATTTTCTGGCTTGTAATTTTATATTTGTTTTATTTCTCCACTGTCTCCTTTTCTTTCTTTTTTTTTTTTTTTTTTTTTTTTGGCTACACAATTTAAGCACCAATTTGTGTTCTCTCTATTAAATGGAATGGCAAATTCTGAAAAGTTTAGAGAAAGGTGTATCCCATGAAATGGTAGTGGGTTTTCCATTTTAAGTATCAAGTGGGACGTCCTGATTACCTAGCTTGACTAGATTTGAGGAGTGGGTGAGTATTGACTTTCTAATATGTGAATAAAATGATGGCAACCCTTTCCTTACATCTACTGAGTTACATTAATTACAACAACAAGGATTTCTAAGGGTTATAAATAATTCTGCAATAAGGATAGATATATGGAACATTAGAAAAAGTCTGTGTTTTAATAACCTTCTATTCGAATTCCAAAAATCAGTTAAGAGGAAAGTATTTTAAACCACTGGAAACTTTTAAAATTGATTTCTTATATTTATTAATATTTGAAAGAGCCATATGAATCCCTCAAGAAGAACTTCCTTCAGATTCACATACATATGGAGGTAGATTTTTTCCACTGCGTAAAATGTGCACTCTGGGAAGAAAATAAAAGCATTAAATCCTTCAAAAGCTTAATGGTCACCTAAGACTAGAGAGACAGTGGAAAGCTTAGCGCAAATCCATAATCATAGCTTTTGAACCGTGGAGCTCTGTCTCTAATAATTCAGAGTTTTACATTCAAAGGAAAAATTACTAAATCCCAGGGCACACTGTTTATCTAGATGTAAATGTAGATATTTTTAGAACACAGAATTCTTTCCAACATAAAACTAACTTTGGAAGAACAACATACTTTCTTGAGCCATAGATAAATTTTAAAATGTTACCTACCACCCTTCCAAACAAAACAATGACAGCCAAAAGAAGCAAATTTTTGTTGATAAAATCAGGATAGATGATGAGAATTACACAAGCTCAAAAATATTAATCCATTTATGAAGAATACTTGAACCCCTACCTACTAACACCCAGTTGTAAGGGTGACAATACATTGATTCTTTAAATTAGAATGTATGAATTAGCATAATTTAAGTCCTGCAAGGCTGAATTATATTCTATATAACTGTGAGCAAATATTAGTGTAATTTTAGTATTCACTATTTTTTGTTTCACTTATGTATTAAAATTAAGTAAAATATTGACTTAATAAATAATATTAAAATGTTCTATTCTACATTACAAAGCAAATTACATATACAGAAGAAGAAAACCAACCCTGTTGTAGATTTGTTGATTTTTTAAGTTAGAAATACTCACTATTCTCAAGTTTTTCTCAGAGAGTTAATGATTTTATTTATTTTTAAAGATTTTATTTACTTATTTGAGAGAGACAGAAAGAGCACAAGCAGGAAGAGAGGCAGAGGCGGAAGGAGAGGGTCAAGCAGACTCCCTGATGATCGGGGAGCCCCATGAGGGGCTCGATGCCAGGACCTGAGCTGGTCAGATGCTTGCTTAACCAACTGAGCCACTCAGGCACCCCCAGTTAATGATTTTAAAAAGTACTGTTATTCTGTTTGATTTTTCTTTTTAATAGATTTTATTTATTTATTTGAGAGAGAGAGCATGAGCAGGGGGAGGGGCAGAAGGAGAGGGAGAGGGAGAAACAGACAGCAGACACTTCCTGCTGAGCACCGAGCTGACTCTGGGTGTGGGGGGGGGCTCAATCCCAGGACCCTATCCCAAGAACCAGAGATCACGACCTGAGCTGAAGTCAGATGCTTAAATGACTGAGCCACCCAGGCACTCCTGTCATTCTGTTTGATTTTTAATGCATGTATGTACTAATCAATTCATTCATCCATTTACTTGTGTATTTGTATAATCATTTAATTCAATTGTATGCCAGGCATTCAACTTGATGCTTTCAAAACAAGTTGACCAAAATAATTTTCTATGACTCTTTCTCTCTTGGAATATACTTGAACACCTTTACAATATTAATTTTTTAAGAAAAATGAACATTTATAAAGGGAAGGTAGTGGTAACTTTTTATGGTTTTACATTCTGTTCTGTTCTTGTCTTGGTTGAATTCTTCCCGGCTATTTGTGCCATATCCAGTGAGATCTACAATATAGTGAGGTCCATTCAACTTAGTGTAGAAGGACAATGGTGAAGTGCTGCCAAAATATTGGCAAATTTACATATCCATATTAAAAGTTGTTAAATTGAAAGAACGCTTCTAAATAGTCCAAATCTAGTGCCAGAATATCAGTCTAATATACCAGTAGGGACAATAGACATCATGAAAATAAAATCTTCGTGTTTAATGCCTGGAGGAGTACATTCCATTTTTTAAGTGTTCTGAGTGCATTGCTTATTAGCAATAATTGGTGGGTGCATATGTGTAAGCTATTTTACTCTATTCCAGAACAATTTCTTTATAACAGTATACTTACTGTACTTAAAAAGTATAAATGATTTTCAAAATTCAAGCAATAAACTCTTTGAGCTTTTTTCAATCACATGGAGGTGGAAATGAGTATTTAAATTTCTCAAATATTAGAATTTATCTTGTCTTTTCATTTTAAAGAAGAAACCAAAACACAGAAAGACAAAGTGATTTTGTCAAAATCTAACAGTATCTGGCAGCACTGGGCTGAGAAACTTAGCCAATGCAGTTGACTGGGCACACAGGTAGGAACCTAGAAATCTGTAGGGTTTATCACAATGTTTAGCGATATCCAACTTCTTTCTCTCATTAGTTTTACCTTTGCTGTTTATGTCACAACAGTTTTTTTTTGCAGAAAGTTACACCTATTCATAGAAATATGTATGTTTATTGAGCCAAACTCAATGTGGATGCACAGTTGACATAAAATTCACATCCGCACATTCGGATAATGCCAAAAAATATTTAATTACTGAATCTAGTGATCTAACTTAAGTGGAAAAGAGTGTATTGAATCAGAAACATATTTTGTAATTTGCTGATTCAGTTTACTAAAATTTGAAAGTAAAGAATTCAGGATATAAGCAGTTCAAGAAAGGAGCTTAATGAATATTCCCCCCCCCCCCCGCCCCAGCCCAGTGGATGCAATGAAGTATAATCAACCACGTATTAGTGATGATGCATTGTTAAAATTTTCCAAAAAATTTAAATCCCTACAATACTCAGTTATTATGCAAATGTGATTGCTGAAGGATATATATCTCCTTGGTGGATTAGTGGATTCCAGTGGTTTTGACAAAATTAAAAAATAGTAATGGGCCAGTAATTAAACAATGTCTGCTTTTTGTCTAGTTTTATACCAGGCATGATGGGGAACACAAGAAAGCCTCAAGAAGCATATAATCCAATGGAGCGAGAACAACACACAAGAAGTAATTCAAAAACTATTAGGGAAAAAGGAAAAAGAAAACTGGTGCAGGTTGGACACCAGGGAGACTTGACATGATCTTAGAGCATAGAATCCGAATGGGCAGAGGGGAGGAGAAAGAATTCACTATGAATCAAGGAAGAATGGCTTAAGTAAAGGTACACATGCAAGACCATCAATGAAGAGAAGCCAGGTTGACGCCAAACCTAGGATGTCAAGGAATGGCCAACCTGGGTTCTCCGTGTCGCTAGGGCCACATGGTTCAACTGTCATTGTCAACGTTAAAGGTCTACCATGGGAGCGTATCATCTCATTAGTACTACAAGAGATTTCAGTATAAAGAAACTATTATCATTTCTTGTCTTGTGCTACACTGGCACTGGCTTATGTTCCCACAACACCTTGTTTTGTTTTGTTAAAATTTTATTTATTTAAGAGAGAGAGTCAGAGATAGCGACAGAAATAGCAAGAGGGAGCACAAGCTGGGAGGAGAGGGACAAGCAGACTCCCCACAGAGCAGGGATCCTGACGCGGGGCTCGATCCCAGGACCCGGAGATCATGACCTGAGCAGAAGGCAGACGCTTAACCGACTGAGCCACCCAGGCGCACCAACACTTTGTTTTTTAATGTTTAGTGTTGTTAATATTTGACATGTAAAAAAGTATATATAGTTGACCCTTGAACAACACGAGTTTCAACTGCATGGGTCCTCTTACACATGGATTTCTTTCAATAAATACAGTGCAGTACTATAAATATATTTTCCTTATGATTTTCTTAATAACATTTTCTTTTCTCTAACTTACTTTATTGTAAGAATACAGTATATAGTACATATATAAAATATGTGTTAATCAACTATTTATATTATTGGTAAGGCTTCTGGTCAACAGTAGGCTATTAGCAGTTAAGTTTTTGGTGAGTCAAAAATTATACTTGGATTTTTTTTTTTTAAAGATTTATTTATTTATTTTGAGAGAGCGAGAATGAGAGAGAGAGTACATGAGTGGGGGAGGGTCAGAGGGAGAAGCAGACTCCCCGCCGAGCAGGGAGCCCGATGCGGGACTCGATCCCGGGACTCCGGGATCATGACCTGAGCCGAAGGCAGTCGCTTAACCAACTGAGCCACCCAGGCGCCCTATACTTGGATTTTCAAGTGTGCGAGGGGTTGGCACTCCTAACTCCCACGTTGGTCAAGGGTCAACTGTATAAAATATATATATATATTTTATGTATATATACATATATGTACATATATGTATATATAGTAAAAATATATATAGTATATTTAGTTACAAAGCACAATGGTAAACAGCCTCAAACCACCCCCTAAGAATTAGAACATTTCCAGTAACCTGCATATACCTGTGAGCACCTGCCTTATCCCATCTCCTTGCTTCCCCATCCCCTGAGGATAACCACCATTTTGAGTCTTCCATTCCCTTCTTTAAATATAATTTTATCATTTATGTATATTTTCCTAAAGAATATATTATTTAGATTTGCTAGGTTGAGCTTTATAAAAATGGTGTTCTACGACTTGCTTTTGTTCAATCAGTATTATGCTTTTAAGACTCATTCAGTTGTGAGCGGTAACTTGCTCATACAGATTGAGAGACCCACTGGCATTTTCAGATCAGTTGCTTTAAATCAGCCACAGTGGTAGTATTTACATCATGGAAAACATCAATCTCTACAAATCAGGGCTTTCTTTTTCAAAGAAAGAGTTGTTAACTTTTACCAGCACACCTCTGATTTCAACCATCCTATGTGTATTTGAAATGCAGTTTTCTATAAGGGGACAATTCCACAGTGTATCCATTTTCCTGTCCACCAGCATATCAACAAAGGTTGTTCACATTTCATGGTACCTGAGACTTGTTTCTCTAAGATATTTACCCAGATGTGGAGTTTCTGAGCTTTAAGTTATGTGACTATTCAAGACTTTAAAATAATGGAAAACTGTTTCCAAAATTGTTTATGCCCCACCTAGGGTGTATGAGTTTCCTTTCATCTCTGTCTTCACCAGCACTTTTGTTTGATTTCCTAATTAATACCGAACCAAAGCTTGTAAAATAACATTCCCCTAGGGTCTTAATTTGCTTTTCTTTGATTACTATAGTAGTTAAGCATTTTTTGTATGTTCTTTGGCCATTTGTGTTTCCTCTTCTGTGAAATATCTGTTCATATCTCTTGCTTATTTTTCTATTGGCTTGTTGACCTTTATTAAATTGTATGTTGTTTATGTATTCTAAATATTCATCTTTAATCAGTGACAAATATATTGCAAATGTATTTTGCTATTTTGTGGCTTACTGATTCACCTATTTCTGGCATCTTTTGATGAACAGGAGTTTTTAACACTCTAAATTTAAGTTAAATTTTTTTGTTATGTTTTGGGATTTTTTTCACCTTCTTTAATATGTCCTTCTCTATCCAAATGTAAGGAAAATATTTTCCCATAGCTTCTTCTCTAATTATCCCAACTGGATGTACTGACCGCATCTAGCCAGAACACTGAATGACGAAGTGGTGATATATCTTAGATGCCATTGTCATGGCACTATACGTACTTTTTTATTTATGCAGGAAACATTTTGAAGTCCCCTGACATGAACTTAATGTGCTATGTGTCTTTTTAAGATTTTATTTATTAGAGAGAGAGAAAGCATAAGCAGGGGAAGGCATGCAAGGGGGAGAAGCAGACTCCCCACTGAGCAGGAAGCCCTACAGGGGGCTCGATCTTGGGACTCCAGGATCATGACCCAAGCCGAAGGCAGATGCTTAACCCACTGAGCCACCCAGGCACCCCTTAATATGCTGTGTTAAGGAGTTTGAATTGTGTCCTATAGAAAATGGGATAAAAGAAGCAGCTTTACTTTTAGAAAGGTAATAAACTAAAAAGAGGTAAGATAGTACAAGGAGTCCCATTTACAGGCTTGTTCCAGTAGGCAGAGAAAAAGGACAAAAGCACAGAGGAGGTAGTGTCAGGGAAAATGAAGAGGAGGCCGGTTTGGGGAGGAAATTCACTGCCACGATTTGAGACCAATTTAATATAGGGCTGAGAAAGAGGGAGGAAAACCAAGTATGGTGTTGACATTTCTGCTGGGAAAGTCTGAAGGGATCTATAATGTGAAAATGGGAGAAGGCAATGTAAGTTACAAAAACAAGTTGGAAGTAGTGACAAAATTTGGGGGGGAGCCAACATATAATTGACCAGTTTGTACCTAAATCAGGCACAGACATGAGGAGGCTGTTCCTCAGAATCCACACATCTTGTTTGCTTTTCTCCTTTGCCCTTAACCTTCTGACATACACAGCCCGAGGGAGTGGTGGATATATGACTGACCGTTACCATGATCTGGATGATCTGGAGCAGGGCAAGATGTTTGGTTTCATTTCTTTCTTTCTTTGTTTTTTAATCTTCAGGTGCCATTCAAATACAGTCAGTATTGTTGGATTTAAAACTTACCCAAAGAATCTGGGACTATTTCATCTGGAGAATGAAGTGCTTGTGAAGTCTCCTCCGTCCTTTCTGCCAGGTTGTCTCCTTGAAGCCTAAATAATTAAAAATGGTCATTGAATCCTCTAATAATGTTGAATTGTGAAATGTGAACCATATACTACTGGGGACATGACTATGAACTTTTCAACTTAAAATCAGACATCCTTCCTCAAAGTAGAAATAAAAGTTTTCTAAAGCCTTTGTCATATAGTGTTTTTGTTTTTGTAGCCTTTAACGACAAGTCTTCCGTCATCTTTTTCCCTTATATACATGGGAAGATTAAGTGTAGGCAGAATCTGCTTTTATTCTCAGCCTGACTGGAGGAAAGTTTATAAGCAAACATTTTCACTAAAACTACAATAGGGAAGTGAGTGGAAGAAAAGCAGGAGTCCAACACAGTGGGCTCGCCTTACTTCTGGATCCAGGGGATGAGAGGGTTTCCATGATTATACAGAGGTTTATCAAACACAGTTCTCCAAGTCAACCAAACTTGAGCTTAAAGGCCTGCAGGTCAAGGTAAGTCTCAACAATGGAAGTTAAGATTCCTAATCTGTGTGACTCCCCAGGGTTCTCATAGGCACTGGGTCTTCAGGAAGGGAAGACATGGGTACTTTTAAGACAATATATTTCTGAACTTCTGTGTCCACCTTGCAATGGTGAGACTAGTGATACCTAATCCAGACAGTCTGGATTTACCTTATACTGTGAAATCACCCTATCAAATGAGGTAGAGCTCATTAATAACTGTTGGAACTCTGTCCTAAGAATGAGCTCTGATAATATTGGAGGACAGTATATTAGATAATCCAGAGATTGGAAGTTTCTATCAGTGCCCTTATTTTTTTCTTGTATTTAGCTGATGGCAAGTGCCCTCATGGCAGAATATTAATAAATGCATAACAAATAGCATTAATATTTTTAAAAATACAAACTCAAGTACAATCCATAACTGTACAAGGCTCAAAAGTTAAACTTTTCAACTGCCTTGTATCTTTGTTTTTATATGCCACAGTAGAATGACATACTAATTTGCATTTTGCTTTTGCATATTCAAGCACATATGCATGACTCTTTACCTTTTGTGTAACTATAAATAGTATAAATTATATTTTCATCTTTATTCTTTTAATATTAAGTTAATATTAATATTAAAATCTGCACATTTTTGTACATATTATATATTAATAGTTACATATTACCTTCTATACACAAAACCATATTTACTATATTATATAAGCTAACTAAAGAATTCTCAAGAGTAATTTCCTGATAGGACATTTTTTGGTCAAATATATACATTTTATACCTTTTTTATTGATTTTATACTTTGAATTAATTTTTAAAATTTTACTTTGAAAGAACAACATCACTTTTAAATGATTTAGCTACATACTTCTCAAATCTGTCCAACTATTTTTTGCTTATTTCTAATCATCAGAATAAATACTTCACTAAACTGCAGTATCAAATAGTCTTTTTGCATTTCCTTTGTCTAGGACCATTTCATCAAATTTTCAAAGGGAGAAAGTATGTAGAAACATGAGATATGGAAAGATGTAAGTAAACATTATTATTAAAAATTGACAATGAAATCCAACATATTTGGGTATTTCAAATTAGATTAAAAACCTAAATGGAAAATAAATCTCCAGCAAAGGCAGAAAGAAAGAAGCAAGAAATAAAAACTAAGTTGTAAATTTCTTTTTGCTCACTGCAAGCTTCAATAAGACTTATTTTGTATTTATTAATATGCTCAGTAATAAGCCTAATATGGTAGAGATGTAAGTAAGTGACAACTGATCCTGATTTCAGACTTCTCAATTTAGCTGAGTCAAAAAGACAAATGGCCATGAAAGCAACTCAACAGATTGGGTGGCCTTGAAGTTGGCTCATCTCTGTGCAAACACTGCCCTCCAGACACCTTAAGAGTTGGAGTTACCGTGACTTGGCAGCAACTCCATTAAGGAATGCTTCACAGCCCTGCTATCCTTGAGTGCTCTGCCAGTGTTTCCCAAACTTGTAATCCACACAGCACTACTTCTGTAAGAGGTTAATAGGCACTATGCAAACAAGGGTTATGTGGGCAAGTCCGGGAAATTCAGTCTTAATAAAAGTTAAATCTTTTTTTTTCCTTTATACTACAAGAGTTTTACTCATACTCCCAAACCTTTTCTCTTTGCTTTCTAAAACTCCTTTTCCATATTAAACACTCTCTTAATATTCTCAGTGTCTAAACAAAATGTTTCCTGCTCTGCCTTGTCATCACTGAAACCCTTTCCCAAGAATATTGCACCCTTTTTTCCTCTAAGAATATGAGAGTGCATCCTCTCCAAAGGAAGCTGCCTAATTCCTTGACCTCAGATAACACAGGATTAGAAATATTAACCTTCCTTCTTTCTGCCTTTGAAGACTTTGCTCAAAGTTTTCTTCTTCAACTCAAGCATCATTATCACCTTGAATGATTTCCGTGTTCTTGTGTATCTACCCACTAATTTGGCCCTTGATCTCAAATCTGGAAATCTTCCCTTCTACTTCACCTTCTCTTGCCCAAGGACATATAACCCAGAATTGCTCCATGTCAGCAATCTTTCAATCCAATGTTCTGTTCTCTGACAATAAACTTGCTTCCTTTAGGCTCTTTCACGAACTCACTGTTCTTAACACTTTCTCTTCAGTCAAATATGGATCCCAATTTCTTTTTCTCCCAGGTACCTGGCCTCCGCTCGTTCCAGTTCTGCCCTACTCAGCTGGGACTTGTGGTCTCCTCAGTTCCCATGCACCTACATCCTCCTGTCATTTGTGACTAACCAGACCCTAATTCTGTATTAATCCATCATTTTCCTACACATGTGCACCTGGAGCAATGCGGGAGAAAGTCAGACACTCTAGGATTGGTGAGTACAAGTCAATGGTCTCCAACTTTAAACTTGGGCTTCTTGGCTTCTTGGTTGTCTTTCTTCTGTTCCTTTCAAAGTCTTTAAAAAACTATTATCTCTTTTTTAGGTCACCTAGAAAAATGATATATTAAGGAAGAAAGATGTGCTACTCCCCCTCACACAGCACCTACAGAATTATCTTCAGCCCAGCCAGTATTCACCACCTTTCCAATTCACGAAGGGTGAGACCCTCTGTCCTGTGTAAGGCTCAGACCATCCATTTAGGTTGATGATTTGGATCCCCTCATCTCATCTCTCTCTTGGACCTTGATTTATTTTATCCATTACCATTCATTCTGTTCATCCTCATTGCTCATTTCCCACAGCATAGAAGCAAGCTCATTTCTCTTTCAGCCTTAAAAAAAAAAGACAAACACAAAACAAAATCCCTCCCATAATTATCTCAAACATCTGACTGTTGCTTTTTCTCGCTCATTCTTCTTTGAACCAAACTCTCTAAATATTCTTCATTCATTACCTTTGCTTCCATAGTTTTCATTCATTCTTCAACCTATTTTAACTGGTCTGTGTCTCTCCCATTCTGAAATGACTGTCTGGCTTAATTGCCATATAAAACAGAAACTTCTAATACCTTATTTTTATTTAACTTTCAACTGTACTTTGTATGCACACTCTTTTCCCAATCTCTTTTATACCATCTCTCTGAATCAGCTCATCTACTCATGGTTTTAATTACATATAGATTGACATTTTTCAAATCTTTATCTTGAGTCCTCAGCTCAAGATTGGTGTAGCCAAATTTTTGTAGGACATTTTACTTGGATGCACCAAAAACATCACAAAGGCAACATGTCCAAAAGCAAACTCATTTTCTTCATCACCCTGTATTGTTAATCAATCCCAGTGTTGCTAATTACGCCTCCTAAGGAGATTTCCTGAATCCATCACTTCTTCTTTATACACTACTATAAGTTTGCTGCTCATTTTTATTCACCTGGATTATTACATAATGTCCTCACTGATGGTCATACTTAGAAACTTGCCCTTCAAAAACCAATTTTCCATATGGCTACCAGAATGTTCAAAACAAATCCAAACATATTACTCTTATGATTTAAATATTTTAGTGCAAGAGATCTTAACATGAGTATTTTTAGAGGGTCTATGGGCAGGTTTTAGGGGAATCACAATAATTCACAGTAAATGGGATGAAAAGTTTTTGGCAGATGTGCTTGCTCTCTTTGGACAGGGAGACAGTAACTTCAACCAGATTTTCAAAATAATCCTTGACTCCAAAAAGTTTAAAAACTACCATTTTTACTGGCTTCTCATCACCTGCAAGATGAGTTATGGTTTCCTTACCAAGTCATTTGAATCTCTATTGCACAACCCCTACCTGTTTCTGCAAATTCATCTTCCTTGATTTTATACTTCATAAAGCCCACTGCTTTTATTTTTTTGCAGATATTTTGTTATTAAGGTTCTGAACTATTATATAATTATCTCTGGCATGTCTTACTTACTATTTGGTTTAATCCTGGTTTTTCATTCTAGAGTCTCTTCTTTTCAGAACCTTTTCTTTCAGAAGTCCTAGCACCTATGCAAAACTTTACCATTGCTCTTGCTTTACTATGTTTTAATTGTCTGTTTAGATGTCTGTTTGTCAATACACTCCAAGTGTCTTAAAGGCAGGAATTCTATTTTTCATATTTTCATGTCCCTAAAACCTAGCTTAGGTTGAGCTTGATACATTGGTAAGCTCTAAAAGAGATTTCTTAGGGCATTTTTTAATGATTAGCTCACCTTGGAGATAAGGACAGGAAAACAGGGCACACCCTGTATATGAATTTTCTACAGAATACTGCAATAGAGTTACATTTCCTTGAAAAGAGGTGACACTATCTGGTGTATATTTAGGGTTAAACAGTTCTTAACCTGGTTTGCCCTAATGCACAACATGAGACAGAGGCTTCTGTGCCATGCTTGTATGACCTGGGGAACAGGAGTGAAAGACATGGGAGTAAAATGCGAAAGGAGAGAAACACAATACAAGGATGTGTTATTGAGCCAGGCCCTGTACAGATGGCTGCAGCACAGTCCCAAAGAATTCTGAGGATCCTTATGAAATGTGTCCACTAGAAGGACGCAAGGGTAAC